CGTCGCCCGGTGTGGCGCAGCCGGGGCCCCACCCTGGAGCCAGGCCTGGGGTTGGGGCTCGAATGCGAGCGCCTGGTGGCCGGGCTCAGCCCGAAAGGACGACGTGGGTCCACCCTCCTGTGGGCTCACCACCCGCAGAGGGGTTCATAGGGGTCGGGTGCATAGAGGACTGGGCGGCGGTCGGGGACGGGTGTCCCGACGCCCTGGTCCACACACACAGCATCTGGCTGTGGCGACGTGGAACGTCACCTCGCTGGGGGGGAAGGAGCCCGAGCTTGTGCGGGAGGTTGAGAGGATACCGGCTTGATATAGTCGGGCTCACTTCTACGCACAGCTTGGGCTCTGGTACCCAACTCCTTGAAGGGGGTTGGACTCTCCATTTCTCTGGCGTTGCCCGCGGGGAGCGGCGGCGAGCTGGTGTGGGCTCATAGCCCCACAGCTCAGCCGCCACGTGTTGGAGTTTACCCCAGTGAACGAGAGGGTCGCGTCCCTGCGCCTTCGGGTCGAGGACAGGTATCTCACTGTGGTGTCGGCCTACGGGCCGAACAGCAGTGCTGAGTACTCGAGTACCCGGCCTTCTTGGAGTCCCTGGGAGGGGTACTAGACAGTGCACCGACCGGGGACTCCGTTGTTCTACTGGGGGACTTCAACGCCCACGTGGGCAACGACAGTGACACTTGGAGAGGGGTGATCGGGAGGAACGGCCTCCCTGATCTGAACCCGAGCGGTGTTTTGTTATTGGACTTCTGTGCTAGTCACAGTTTGTCCATAACAAACACCATGTTCCAGCACAAGGTCCATAAGTGCACGTGGCACCAGGACACCCTAGGCCGGAGGTCGATGATTGACTTTGTCGTCGTGTCATCTGACCTCCGGCCACGTGTCTTGGACACTCGGGTGAAGAGAGGGGCTGAGCTGTCAACCGATCACCACCTGGTTGTGAGTTGGATCCGCTGGCAGAGGAGGAAGCCGGAGGGACCTGGCAGGCCCAAGCGTCTGTTCTGTTGGGAACGTCTGGCAGAGCCTCTGTCAGAGGGACCTTCAACTCGCACCTCCGGGAGGACTTCTCCCAGATTCCGGGGGAGGCTGGAGACATGGAGTCCGAGTGGGCTATGTTCTCAGCCTCTATTGTCAATGCAGCTGCTCGGAGCTGTGGGCGTAAGGTCTGTGGTGCCTGTCGCGGTGGCAATCCCCGAACCCGGTGGTGGACACCGGAAGTAAGGGATGCCGTCAGGCTGAAGAAGGAGTCCTATCGGGCCTTGCTGGCTCGGGGGACTCCTGAGGCAGCTGACGGGTACCGGCGGGCCAAGCGTGCTGCAGCCCGTGCGGTCGCAGAGGCAAAAACTCGGAGCTGGGAGGAGTTCGGGGAGGCCATGGAGAAGGACTATCGGACGGCCTCAAAGAGATTCTGGCAAACCGTCCGGCGCCTCAGGAGGAGAAAGCAGTTCTTCACCAACACTGTTTACAGTGCGGGGGGAGAGCTGCTGACCTTGACTGGGGACGTTGTCCGGCGGTGGAAGGAATACTTTGAGGATCTCCTCAATCCCACCGTCACGTCCTCCGAGGAGGAAGCAGAGGCTGGAGACTCAGAGGTGGACTCATCCATCACCATGGCCGAAGTCACTGAGGTGGTTGGCAAGCTCCTTGGTGGCAAGGCTCCGGGGTTGGATGAGATCCGTCCTGAGTACCTGAAGTCTCTGGATGTTGTGGGTCTTGGCTGATACGCCTCTTCAACATCGCGTGGCGGTCGGGGACAGTGCCTCTGGACTGGCAAACCGGGGTGGTGGTCCCTCTGTATAAGAAGGGGGACCGGAGGGTGTGTTCCAACTATAGGGGGATCACACTCCTCAGCCTTCCCGGTAAGGTCTATGCCAGGGACTGGAGAGGAGAATCCGGCCGATAGTCGAACCTCGGATTCAGGAGGAGCAGTGTGGTTTTGGTCCTGGCCGTGGAACACTGGACCAGCTCTACACTCTCCATCGGTGCTCGAGGGTTCATGGGAGTTTGCCCAACCAGTCCACATGTGCTTTGTGGACTTGGAGAAGGCATTCGACCGTGTCCCTCGTGGTGTCCTGTGGGGGGTGCTCTGGGAGTCTGGGGTCCGGGGCCCTTTGCTAAGGGCTGTCCAGTCCCTGTATGACCGGAGCAGGAGCTGTGTTTGCATTGCCGGCAGTAAGTCAGACCTGTTCCCGGTGCATGTTGGACTCCGCCAGGGCTGCACCTGTCACCGGTTCTGTTCATTGTGTTTATGGACAGAATTTCTAGGCGCAGTCAGGGGCCGGAGGGGGTCCGGTCTCATCTCTGCTGTTCGCAGATGATGTTGTCCTGTTGGCTTCATCGAACCAGGACCTGCAGCACTGGGGCGGTTTGCAGCCGAGTGTGAAGCGGCTGGGATGAAGATCAGCTCTTCCAAATCCGAGGCCATGGTTCTCAACCGGAAAAAGGCGTCTTGCCCTCTCCGGGTGGGTGGAGAGTCTCTGCCTCAAGTGGAGGAGTTCAAGTATCTCGGGGTCTTGTTCACGAGTGAGGGGAGGATGGAGCGTGAGATTGACAGGCGGATCGGTGCAGCGTCGGCAGTGATGCGGTCGCTGTATCGGACTGTTGAAGAGGAGCTGAGTCGAAAGGCGAAGCTCTCGATTTACCGGTCAATCTACGTTCCTACTCTCACCTCTGGTCATGAGCTCTGGGTAGTGACCGAAAGGACGAGATCGCGGATACAAGCGGCCGAAATGAGTTTCCTCCGCAGGGTGGCTGGGCGCTCCCTTAGAGACAGGGTGAGGAGCTCAGTCACACGGGAGGAGCTCGGAGTAGAGCCGCTGCTCCTCCACGTCGAGAGGAGCCAGTTGAGGCTCGGGCATCTGTTTCGGATGCCTCCTGGGCGTCTCCCTCAGGAGGTGTTCTGGGTATGTTCCGCCGGGAGGAGGCCCCGGGGAAGACCCAGGACACGCTGGAGGGACTATGTCTCTGGTCTGGCCTGGGAACGTCTCGGGGTCCCCCCGGAGGAGCTGGAGGACGTGTGTGTGGAGAGGGAAGTCTGGGAGTCCCTCCTCAGACTGTTGCCCCCGCGACCCGACCTTGGATAAGCGGAAGAAAATGGATGGATGGATGGATGGATGTCAAACCTGAAATCCTGTTAGAATCCAGCTCTAATTAGTCCTGGTTTAGTTCTTGCTTAGTCCCAGTTTGGTCCCAGTCCAGACACTGGTTTTAGTCCTGGTTTAGTTCTGTGTGAGTCTCACTTTGCCCCAGGTCAGTTGAGGAGAACAGATCAGCACCACGGACAGAGACTCCAGCGGTTTCTCTTTTTAGGTTTTTGTTTTTTTCAGTCGAGTGAAAAATGTGAAACTGTTTCAAATGTTTTTAATTTCAGGTTTTATCTCAAACTCTCAGTTTCAGATTCAACTCAGAGTCTCAGGAAACAGATTTAATGAGAAAATCAGCACCACGGACAGCGCTCCAGGTCCAAACCAGGACTAAATCAGGACCAAACCAGGACTAAACCAGGACCAAACCAGGACTAAACCAGGCCTAAAACCAGGACTAAACCAGGACTAAACCAGGCCCAAACCAGGACTAAACCAGGACCGAACCAGGACTAAACCAGGACTGAACCAGGACTAAACCAGGACTGAACCAGGACTGAACCAGGACTGAACCAGGACCGGACCAGGACCAAACCAGGACCGAAACAGGTCTAAACCAAGTCTAGATTTAGATTTTGTTTTTTTCTAGTTTAACCCACCTGTCAGTCCTGGTTTAGTCCTGGTTTAGACCTCGTTCAGACCTGGTTTAGACCTGGTTTAGACCTGGTTTAGACCTCGTTCAGACCTGGTTTAGACCTGGTTTAGACCTGGTTTAGACCTCGTTCAGACCTGGCTTTAGACCTGGTTTAGACCTGGTTTAGACCTCGTTCAGACCTGGTTTAGACCTGGTTTAGACCTCGTTCAGACCTGGCTTAGACCTGGTTTAGACCTGGTTTAGACCTCATTCAGACCTGGTTTAGACCTGGTTTAGTCCTGGTTTAGACCTGGTTTAGACCTGGTTTAGACCTGGTTTAGACCTCATTCAGACCTGGTTTAGACCTGGTTTAGACCTGGTTTAGACCTGGTTTAGACCTGGTTTAGACCTCATTCAGACCTGGTTTAGACCTGGTTTAGACCTGGTTTAGACCTGGTTTAGACCTGGTTTTAGACCTGGTTTAGACCTGGTTTAGACCTGGTTTAGACCTCGTTCAGACCTGGTTTAGACCTGGTTTAGACCTGGTTTAGACCTGGTTTAGACCTGGTTTAGACCTGGTTTAGACCTGGTTCAGACCTGGTTTAGACCTGGTTTAGACCTGGTTTAGACCTCGTTCAGACCTGGTTTAGACCTGGTTTAGACCTCATTCAGACCTGGTTTAGACCTGGTTTTTCTCGGAGTGTGTCCTGGTGCTTTTCGCTCTGGAGATGAATGAACGCGTTTCCATGACGACGAGGCAACGAGGAAGAGGAGGGCATTAGCATACGGCGGCGCACAGTCACAGCTAACACGGGACCTGGACCAGGACCAGGACCGGGACCAGGACCAGGACTCAGCAGAACCACTCAAGGTCTCATCAAAACCTGCACAAACTGGCTCCAGACCCGACATATGGGCCAGAACCAGGGACTAAACCAGGACTAAACCAGGACTAAACCAGGACTCAAAACAGAGCAAGAGAAACCAGGACTAGAAATAAAACATGGGCAAACTGTCCCCGTCTAAACCAGGACTAAACCAGGACTAAACCACAACTAAACCAGGACAAACCACACAAGCACTAACCCAGGTCTGACCCTGGACTAAACCAAGAGTAAACCAAGACCAACTCAGGTCTAAACCAGGTCTAAACCAGGTCTGACCCGGGCCTGACCTGGATCTAACCCAGGCCAGGGTCTGACCCGTGTGTGACCCGTGTGTGACCCGTGTGTGACCCGGGGGTGACCCGGGGTTTCCCGCCCTCTGGCCTCGGGGCTCGTTACCTTGCACTGGTCCATGCACGTGCGCACGGAGTACGGTCCCGGTTCGTATTTGAGCACGAGCTCCTCAAACTCCTCGTACTTCTCGAGCGCGTGCAGGTCGTAGCGTTGATACGCCGCGACGCACGCGCCGCACGTGCCGTCGGGGCCCTCGTGCAGCGCGTGCAGGCTGCAGTTGAGGCGATCCGGACGCGACGCGCCGCGGAGCAGGTCCAGCAGCGAATACGAGCTACAAAAAGACAAGTACAAGCCGCGAGCGCTCCGCTCCGACACGTTCCCACACAAAAGGTCCACGTCCGCGAACGTGAACGAGTCCGTGAACGAGTCCGTGAACGAGTCTGTGACAGAGAGCGGCTCCTCCGGCTCGGAGCCGTCCCGCGGGCCGTCGCACAGCGGCGTGGAGGAGTTGTCTAAAAACACGGCCCGCGTGCGCTCGGGGTAGAGCGGGACACCGGGGACCCCGGGGACGCCGCCGGGGGACCGGGCCAGTTTGTCCGGCGCCAGTTTGGCCTCGGCGCGGAACCACAGGTGGTCAGAGAGCAGCGCGAGCAGCAGCGCGAGGGAAGCCCAGGACAGTCGGCCTCTGTCGGGGGGCGCACCGGGCGGCGGGTCGGGGAGCAGGCGCGCGGGCTCTATCCAGATCGGGAAGCCGTCGACATCTTGGTGCTGCCAACACGTCCCGGCTCCCTGGGTCATATTTCGGGAACGGGCCGACTCCACCGCGGGGGCTCCTCTGCCGCAACAGTCATGGACGTGGGGTGGCGCGCGGGTTGGACGCGGAGAGGCGGATCGTCGGTCGCGTTCAGCGGTGATTCCCGGTGATCGGAGCGTGGGCCGTATCCTCCGGCCCCGATCCCATGGCTGAGCGCTGGGGCCCGCCTCTGCGCAGCCTCGTCGCCGTTTTTAGCAGCCCTCGGAGCGGCCGCACACGGTGGCAGTGCAGGCGCTGTGTGTCCGCGCGGCCTGGAGCATGGCGCTGGGTCGCGCGGTGCCGCTCGCCGTGCCGCTCGCTCTGCCGCTCGCTCGCCGCTCGGTTGTGCGCGTCTTCAGCAGCTCGCGGTGTTCATCGCTGCCGTTCTCCAGTCGCCGCCATGTTCGCCACAGACGCGGTGGATGGAGGATGTGGAGGATGCGAGCGGCGGAAAGTGGGCGACAAACACCGCGCCGCGCTTCCGCTTCGGACCTTCACAATAAGAGCGGCAGGATGCGGCTTCAAAACAAGAGCGGCAGAATTCCGCGCGCGAGGACGGGCTTTCCTCACGAGGCGCCCCGGGGACAACGGAACCACGGACCGAACCGGGACTAAACCAGGGACCGAACCGGGACTAAACCTGGACTATAAAAGGACTAAACCAGGACTAACCCAGGACTATAAAAGGACTAAACTAGGACTAAACCAAGACTAAACCAGAACTAAACCAGGACTAAACCAGGACTAAACCAAGACTAAACCAAGACTAAACCAGGACTAAACCAAGACTAAACCAAGACTAAACCAGGACTAAACCAGGACGGAACCAGGACTGAACCAGGACTAAAAAATTACTCATCTGGACTGAAACAGGACTAATCTGGGACTAAATCTGTTCTAAACCGGTCCTGTGTTTGTGTTGGATCAGATCTTCAGTTTGAAACGTTCTGGTGACATTTGGTCCTGTGACAGCGCCCCCTGGAGACACCGGGGAGCGCCTGCAGGCCTCTTCTGAAGGTCACGTCCACACTCCCCCCGCGCTGACTCCACTCACAAACACCTACACAATACCACTACTACTACTGTCTTAATACTGTGACATACTGGAGTGAAGTGTCTTGCTCAGTGGCACAACAGTAGTATGTATTGATTGAATTAGGCATCAGACCGTGAACACTTTCCAAAAAAACCC